GATAGATAGATAGATAGATAGACAGACAGATAGATAGATAGATAGATAGATAGATAGGCAGACAGACAGATAGATAGATAGATAGATAGATAGATAGATAGATAGATAGGCAGATAGACAGACAGACAGACAGACAGACAATGTGATATTTGGTCTCTTACATCATAGGTGACCTCTTCTACCTGGTCCGTCTCCATAAGGAACATTTTGCTGACCTGTTCACAAGGGCCTTGCAAAACTCTGAGCGCCAAAGGATAGTCATTAGGCTTCAGCTGATGTCTCTCTGAGAGCAGGGACAGAAATATGAACTCAGGGGCAAAGAAACTGCAATATGATGCATTTCATCTCAGTTCGGACGTACCTCCACTCGTGTGGATGATACAGAGGCTGAATTCATCCGGACTGTTCTCAATCTTGAACTTGTAAAGCAGCACTCGCATGACCTGTGCTGTCGTCATACAGCTGTTGATGCGGACATTGGTCACAGAGCCGAATGCTGGGGTAAAAACTGCCGTCTGTTTGACAGAAACAAGTGTGAGCAAAAGCATGAGGGTTTAATAACGTGCATACAGTTCACGAAACACGACGCCCACCTTGTGGTTATAAAAGTGGCCGTTGAAGGAGCATCGGTTTCTCTTGACTCTCCTGATTCCAAGTCGTCGTCCGTTAATTCTCCTTCCACAGACATCACTCTTGGTCCTGGGGAGCCGATCGGAGTGTGTCGACTCCTGCTGTTCCTCACCTGCCAGATGAGATGTAACAAATCCAACGAGACAGACACAGTCGTTCAGATATGATGCGTAGACAGTGAATACTGTGAAGTTTAAAAAAATAAATAAAATAAATAAAAAATCAAGAATGTATTCACCTGCCTCTTCCTTCTCTTCGCTGAAGTCTTTTGATTGGTCGTCTGCTGTAGTGGCCTCACTGGAAATAGACAGCTCATTTGTTTCATTAATTATTGATTATCTGTAAAGTTGCCTAAATTTTCCTTATAATAAGCAGCACAACTGTTTTCAATATTGATAATATTTCTTTATCAGCAAATCTCAGTAATAAATTACATTTTAAAATATATTTTAAAACTTAATTTATTGTAATAATATTTCACAATATTAATTTCACTGTTTTTGATCGTGCAGCCTTTGTGAGCATAAGACTTATTTCAAAAACTTTTAAAATTCTCACTGCCCCTAAACTTTTAAAGTAGTGTAAAAGTTTTATGTAATTTTATAAAATGGATAGTTCCGGTCATTGATTCTGATTGGTTGAGCCGCGTTCGAAGCTGTTGTAAATTACTCTACAAACATACACCTTTGTTTACTTCTGTGTGTTGCTCGGCAACCACTTTGTTGGAACCACAATGGTTTCTGAGGAACTACATTGTTTGGTGAAAGAATACTGTTTTTATTTATATCATTACACTTTATTTGCTCTGTTTTATTCTGTGAAACCTTTCTACGTTTATGGAATAACCGTTTTATAAAAGCAATAAGCCCCGTGAAGCCGTGGTTTACAGTGAATTTATAACAGTTAAGGGGCTTCGAGTCGTGCCTAACAACGCCCCTTAGCTGTTATAAATTCACTGTAAACCACGGCTTCACGGGGCTTATTGCTTTATTAAATTTCTATCACATTAGTTCAACACATAATGGTTAAGTATATAATTGTGGCTCTGCTTTCTAAACTACAAACATAAATGTGCATTTTTATTCTAGTTCCATTGTAAAAGCAAAACAATGAACACGTTTTTGATTGTTTTTACAAACTGAGGCATGAAATTAATTTCTGTGGTAATTCACAGATATTGTCAAGGTAAACTTATATAGGCTATAACCCAAACCATTAACCCAAAAGCACCCTTAAAAAATAATATATATAAAAATGAAATAATTCAAAATATCAAAACAAAAACTGTTAGATAAAAAATACATATCTAATCCTTCTTTGCATTAAAAATGTGTGCAGGACTGTTTTGTATGTATCAGCTTCTGCTTTGTGGGTTAGTGTGTCGTAATATCTGACTTGAGTGTGTTGATGTCCGTTTCGGCACTCAGAGATGTTAGTGAGGGGCGTGGCCTGCCTGCCTCCTTCTCGTCCTCCATCTGCAGTCTGATTGGCCGCCTCACGCCCCAAAAAACATTGAGTAAACCCTCTATGATCAACTCTCCTTCCTCCTGTGAAAATCACATAACACTTATGTCATCAGTTATATGGCATCAATACAACCGGCTGTAATTTACCAACTGACCGACTAACCTCTCTGTGTCTCAACTGGAGGGCTCCTCCTTTGTAATAAAGGTTGTATGTGTTAAGGTTTGAGAGGAGAATGCTCCTGCAACCAAAAAGGAAAAAGGAAAGGAAGTCAGGTTTATGAGAACGGTGAGAGCAAGAAACCTTGCAGTAACACAGCAAAAAGCACTTACTTGCTTACAAATTTATTTTCGCCAATCTGGACCTTGTCTGGATCCTCACTGTCCATGTCGAGTCAGTAGAAAAACACTAGGAAGGCCTGTAAAGAGTGAAGGGATGAACTGAAAAAGGATGTTTGAAAACTTCTCCTCAGAGAAAAAAGTCAAGGAGAATCTCATGACTTTTAGCCTCATAATCGCAAAAGGACTCCAGGCAAGATTCTCACACACAGAAACACACAAGCTGGATAAAAGATGAGCTGAACTGTCCTACACCACACTGTTAAACTATTAACGGCTGTAAACACACTTTTAGGTAAAATATTTTATATTTTACCATGATTTACTGTGACATATTTCATTCTTTTTACTGCTGATGCAAAAGTAATGAACAAGAAATTACTAATACATCACAACCAAGCAATAACGTCACAGAATTTGCACTTACACACTTAAAAATATAGGTTCTTCATTGGCATATGGTTCAATGAAGAACCTTTACAGTGATAATTCACCCCGAAATGAAAAGTCTGTCACCATTAACTCAATCTCATGTTGTTCCAAAACTGTATTTCTTCTGAGAAGATATTCTTAAGAATGTTGGTAACCAAACAGTTATGGTTACCATTGACTTCCATTGGATTTTTTTGTCTACACATTGTTTGGTTAATATTCTTCAAAATATCTTCATGTTCTACATACAGGTTTGGAATGACATGAAGGTGAGTAAATAATGACAGAAATTTATTTTTTGGGTGAACGATCCCTTTACATCCATGGAACGTTTCCATTACATAAAAGGTTCTTTTAAGAACTGTTCACTGAAAGGTTCTTTGAGAAACCAAAAATAGTTCTTCTATGGCATCACTGCAAAAAAAAAAAAAAAAACCTTTTGAAACCTTTGAAAGAGTATAGAGAGCTGAATTCAGTTTTTAAACCAACATTTAATCTACTGTAAGTCAGTTTATCTGAATTGATATTTGGTAATTTAAAGGTCAAGATGACAAAGCAGGTGACTTACTGTACAAGCAGCACGAGGGAGAATCCAGCAAAGTCAGTGAAATCAACTCAGACTCTGGCACACACATCAGAAGATGTGACTGTACCAGTCAGCAAACGTGGAAGTCTTGGAAGTCAGTTGGTCAGCATGAAAACAGCTGTGTCGCGGATGAAAGTGTGCCGTTGACAAGCTAAAGGAGTCTCTGCCCCTCCCTGTAAGACTCTTCCTCATTGCAAAGTTCAGTCAGGAAGTCACAGCTATTTTCACTCGGGTCAGACTTCCTCCCATACGCCACAGATATGTACACACTGCCCCCAACCACAATTCAACATGCACACCAAGATAATTACTAGCACAGATAGCCAACGTTCGAATGGTTTGCTGAGCCAGACAGGACGCACACTTGGTCGAGCACATAAACAGGCCTGAGGATTGTCCATTGGGGCAAATGTTAACACCGTCCCTTGAATGCAAGACTAGTGAACACAATGTTCTTGACTTAAAAGAAACGTGCTTACCAAATAAATGAAATTAACAGCAATATGCATCATGTAAACATCTTTGTATATTAGTCTTTAAAATACAACTATTGTGAGTGTTGGATGAGTCAGAAGGCATAATTTCTACTGAATTTACTTTTTTTTCTGAAATCTTAACCAAGTGTATTTCATTCTCAAAATACAATGGTTTGATTCTGTGGAGGCACGTCTAATATAGTGAATTGAATTGTTTCTCTGTGTTTAAGGAACCAGGTGACCCAGAAAAAGAGGAAGCTTTATAGGTTGTGATGTGAATGGCATCAATTTTACTGTATGTTTTGACTCATAAGCCAGAGTGGAGCTAAATAAAGAGGATAGAGAAAGGGAGAAGGAACAATGAATTGATGCAAAGGCTTCTTTCACTTGTTCCTGCTTAAACTTGCATCTGTTCCTCTGGTAACAAGCCGGTTTGAGCACAGCATTGCCACCTTGTGGAAGCTAATAGAATTACAAATTGATTCATGATGTCTTGGTCACAGTAATACTGTTTAAAATGTTTTTACAGCAATGAAAAATTTGGACATGTAAGCCACATTTAATTTTGTAAAATGAATAATATCAAACTATCTAATGCAAGCCTCTAATGTTTATGCCACTCGTCGTTAAACACATTTAATACATTTAACATAGCACATTTAATTACTTTTTTGTGTTCCTTTTTTGTCATGGGAAATAAATGGAAGAATTTAAGCTATTCCTTCCAAATTAATAAATAATAAGGGTTAATAATATTATTAATAAATAATTAAAAATAAACAAATAGTGTAGATTGGTACTGGATTAATGCTAAGTCATTTATATCTCTTTGTTAAAATGTATATTTAATTAATTAATATTTATTTTACATAACAATATTCTGTGCCACACCATTGAATATAAATAAATGTATGAATTTAAGCCCAAAATTAAATAGCTTCCAAATTAAAACCAAATAAATAAATAAACATAAAAATACAATTTATTGTCTGGATTAGTACTTGACTAATGCAAATCTCTGATAATATTTTTGTCTCTCTTTGTTAAAATGTATATTTAATTACTTAATATTTATTTAACAGAAAATACTGTCACACCGTTGAACTTGTCATGGCAAATAAATGGAAGAATTTAAGCATATTCCTTCCTTCCTTCCTTCCTTCCTTCCTTCCAATCAATCAATCAATCAATCAATCAATCAATCAATCAATCAATCAATCATGAATAAATGAATTGAATGAATGGCTAAGCATTTCCCTCATTTCTACTACAGCCTCACTGTGTATTTTTATGAATTTCACATAATTTACTTATTAAATTATGTGAAATAATAAATAATTTTATGCACATCATGGAGCCATTCACAGATGCCTTTATTTTTGTAAAAAAAAAAAAAAAAAAGGCAAATATGCAAAAGTTCATTTATCTAGGCAGAAATCAACCAGTTTAAGAGCACAGATTTATCTACATATATACAAATGAGCATTTACAACCTGTCTTGAATGCTTAAGGTTAAATTGAGACACATGCAGACGGCCCACATCTTGTTGTTAAAGCATTCAATGCAATCAATCATAATATTCATTCACATGCTACAGATGATATGCAAGGCCTAGGTACAAAACACAAGTGTTTCTAGAGAGTCCCCGTGGAGCGCTTGAGGACTAATGGAACGATGCTGAGAGTCGATGTGGAAAAAGAGCCAGAGGATCATTCTGCACTTCATGCTGTGATCTAGATGACATTCTCAAACAGCTGCATGGAGCTCATAATGTTCTCGTCCTAATAAAACAGCAGAGGCAGTAAAAGTGTCAGTCACAGATTGTTGCTGACAGCTTCATGTTAGAGAGAGTTTAGAAAATGTCTGGCTGTCACACGCTGACAGTGAGAGCCTCCGTATCAACATAAATCAGTCCAGTGTTGACATTTCTCTGACATTAACTCTGATGCTTCTGTCTATGCATGGTGAACAACCGCAGATACTTCTAGACATGACTTCAAAACAAAAGCATTTAAAGGGGTCATTTTTTCTTCTTCTAAGGTTTCACTTAATATATATTGTTAGTCAAGATTTTTTTGTACCAAAACAACGGATTTATTATTTCATGACCATTTCACATTGTCTTTTTGACCAGGCTGTTTATTTTTGTTTATTTTCTACTGGCAAACTAATTAATCACTAATTAATATTCATGAGTTAAGCTGATTTATTATGTGCTCACGCCTACTTTTCAGTTCAAAATTGGCATTGTTGATATGCAAATATAGGTTAATATTTCTTGTAGCTCAATTTTTAATAAATTTCATTAAATAATATCAAACTATTGTTCAAAGATATAATCATATTTAACTATCAATCCAAGTGGCATGCTTATGTATAATAATAATAGTAAAAATAATTATAATTATTATTATTATTATGCATGGTGAGGTACTGCAGATACATAAAAACAAGATTAAAGGGGTCAAATTATAAATATACATTCCTCTGAGGTTCACTTGTGTATAATGTTAGTCCAGATTTTTTGTGACAAAACTATTCAGAATTTAGTATTTCATGCCCATTTTCCATCCTCTTATACAATAAAATTTGGATTGTTGCTGGCCCTGTGTTAACTATTTCAAAAGAATTTCCGAATTTGTTGTTTTTGTAGCTTAGTTTTTGATAAACGTCCTTTCTGGACTAGAGAGGAAGTTTTGAGTTACAGTATTTTCATATTAGCTAAAAATGAACTCTTCCATTTCAAAACATTAAGAAAAGTTTTGTTTCTTATGATATGACTTCTTTAAGTCTGGCCTACCTTCTGACAGGTCTCTATGAACTCATCAATGGTTACAACACCATCTCTATTTCGGTCCATTTTCTGAAACAAACATGTTTTCAGAGTTCAGAGATGATCATGGCTGGCTGACATAATTTCTATGGGACTGTTAAAAGTTTGTTACCTGGAAGAATTTCTCCACGTGTTCAAATGCAGCATCATCTTTTACACAAGGAAAGGTGTACCTGCCCACAATGTCATAGATGGACTTCATGATAGCCAGCATTTCCTGTAGAAAGTGAATGTTAATCGCGGTAACAAATTGTACTAATGTAACAATGTTAACTGCTGTTTTGTACCTCTCTGGTGATGTAGCCATCTTTATTAATGTCATACAGGTTAAAGGCCCACCTCAGTTTCTCTGTCACAGAACCTCGAAGCAGAACAGACAGGCTGATTACAAAGTCCTGCCAAAACACACAATTTACAATTGATTAAAGAACAAAACTAAATGTATTATTGTCAGTTGTGATTATCTGTTGGACTAACACTTATGTTCTGTTGATATTGAACCTAATGACGGAAGTGTAAAAATAACAGTAGTAATTAACCTCTTTTTTGTTCTTCTGATATAAATCTAGTAGACTGATATTATTGTTAATCTTCTGATTTACAGGAATATAAACATTTGAGTTGAATACAGTAATATAAGACGGAGCTGCAGTCTTTCAAATGATAATTTTTTTTAAAATGGCTTGCAATTTTTTAATAATGTTCCTTACCTCAAAACGAATAGAGCCATTTTGGTCCATGTCAAAAGCATTGAAAAGGAAGTGTGCGTATGTGGTTGCATCTAGAAAAAAGAAGTGATTAACTATATTCTTGATATTTGGATTTTATTACGTAAAAATTGGACACACCTACTCATTCTTTATTATGACTTTTATAGTTTTTCTAATAAGAGTCAAGTCATAAAAAGAAAACAAAAACAAAACAAAAATGCTGAGTAATATATATATATATATATTTAAAAAACTAAACTAAAAAAAAAATGCTGAATA